AAAAAAAAAAAAAAAAAAAACGGAAGAGCCCATTAAACTTCCATGTTTAGGTATTGGCAATCAACCAGTTTTGCTTGGATTTCTGTCTTGGCTGAGATAAAAGTTTTGGTTCATACAATGACAAATTAACAGTGTTCTATACTTCCTCATGTGTTGGACGTAATAGCACGGGTACTGTGCATGAATGTCAGACATAGAGCTGGAGAGGAAAACAAACCTTAACACAGGCTAACAAGAAGATCAATTTAACATATATCATATGCATGGAGTTATATGTAAATTACAAATATCAGATATCTAGCCGTAGTTTATAATGTCACTTTTGTAAATGAAAGTTTCTTACATATTATCTTATGCAACTTAATTAAACAAAGTTTAGTGTAATTTTAGGTTGATTCGACGTTTTATTTCAGCTTGATAATAAACCGAATATAACAATTTATTCTGGTTACATTTGTTGTTCGGCTTGTGACCTCGAAAGTGTTCACTTGTTGAGATCAGGTGAGAGCCATTGGGTTAAATTACTTTCCCGTAAAAATATGCACCTTTCATCGTGTCCCCTGTATTGAACAGCAAATGATTTATAACCATTTCACTTTTGCTTATAGTACCGTTTCTGTCGAAATCCATGTCAGAGAAAATTTCTGGAGAAAATTCAGCGTGGAAAATCTTGAGAAAGTTGGCATACTCTTTTGCATCAAGAGTATTATCCCCGTTTTCATCCACCAGATCAAAGAACGTAAGAGCCCATTCGTCTTCCTTGTCCAGATCATGTCGCTCAACAAATTTTGAAATTATTTCAGCTTTATTTTTGATCACATCGTTTGCGGTAACGCTTTCTAAGTTTTTGTCATTCATAATCTCTTTCCACGCCGTGTCCCATACGGCCTGCAAAAAAGCTCTCATTTTAACTTCCTTCTCGTGGGATTTTGTTATTGCACCTACTCTTGCTGCCGTCATATTAACGTATTCGTTTTTATCAAGTTTTCCATCTCCGTTTATGTCCAGGATGTCTATGACATATCTCCATTTGGCAGCCCAAATATCACTTGGTGACTCTTCTTGTACCTGTAAGAGAAACAGACAATCATCATCTTATGATTAAGGTTCCATCACTTTACACCATTATCAACGTTCCAATGCGTTTAATCTACTATAATTAAAGTAATAAACCAATATGTTTTATTGTGTTTACATGCCTTGCTACTCGGTGTTCAGAGTATCACTGTTTACTGCCTATGGCACACTGTGTTATACTGGTGGTGTGCAGTACTGTAGTAAGCAGTATTGTTTTATGGATCTTATTAGTATTTGTTATTGGATTATAAACATGAACCTGAACTGCTAACACTGGCCTTAGAATTCAACACTCGTTTTGCCAAATTGGACATTTTTTTAACGCCAAATAACAAAGATGACAAATACATTTTTTTCATGCATTATCCGAGAAATATTACATAACATGAAGAAAAACTTTTGTAAGTCAGTAAAGAAAATTTTGATACCTTTTTACCCCGTATAACCAGTGTGGAACCAACGCCACCCGTCAACATGGCAGCAAACACAATTATCAACAGACTGCAGAACATCTTGGTTGGGTGCAAGTTTTCTTAAGGATGTTATATTCCAAGATCTGAAAGATATAATTTTGAATCCTCGTTATCGCTCACAAAAAAGGATATATATATATATATATATATATAAGTAAATTACTTTTATCCACAAACTTAAAGAATAAAAATGTGATTTACCTTGGCTGTTCCAAACAGTCGTATGTATTCTACCGACTCCGTTATCAGCAAAGAAATAAGAGAAAACTGTGCAATACATGTTATATGTAAGAGAAGCTTTACTATCCCATTTTGGTAATTAGCATGACAAAGACGTCAGGTGATGAGCAGACGTTTTGTGCTGTTCTATTTTTGTAACATATCCACACCCACTTTGCAATTATTGTTACAAGATTGTGTATTTGATAATGCATCCAGTTCAGAATATATGCAATTTTATTTAAACAGGTATTATGATTTCTGAATATGGAAGGAAAACTGGTCTGTTAAGGAATTGGGCTCTCACAAGTTTTTGTAACATTGGATGTTCATGACAAAAGAACATACACGTGTAAGTGGCAGATAATGGGAAACAAAAGGTTAATTGGTAGGTTTTTTAATGTGGAAAACATTGACAGAACAATCTCATGGCAATTAATCAACCTTTTTGCAAAAAGATGTACTCGAAATATAAATTTGATCCTCATGACGTAATTTGACCCTGCTCAGTCATACGTGAAAAGACACGACAATCCATCGTGTGCATCGAAGCATGACTTCCCCAGGAACCTATATTTACATAAACATTTGTTATATGAAATAAATCTTTTACATTCTGGGTATTTTTCTAAGTGTTCACTTTTTTAAATACGCCCTGTATTGTATTTCTAACACTAAATTTGGTGTGTAATTTTCAACTGGTACACGGAATAAATGTATGCCTACACATGATTAAGACCGATACGGCATGTCACTAATTAATAATGATGGAAACTGAAAAACATAAAAATATTTTGATTTACCTTACTACAAAGAAAGCTATTTTGCCACCTCCCGATCCCGTTGATCCGCAAAGGAATAAATGTGTATCTTATGTTATTTGTGATGTCGTGTTGTCGTTAATATCGCATGAGGGTTATTAGCATGATAAAGACACTAGGCTGACGACACATGTGTGTTTTTTTGTTTGTTTTTAATATCCTGTATGTTCCCTTTCAAAAGTTATGTTTTCATATGTGATGATGGTGTCAGAATAACATAATTGCTAAGGAAAAACGCTTGAACAGTCCGATTTTTAAAAAGAATTCGCATATTAAGCTTGAACTCCACGGAATTAATGGTAGGATTGTTACCTTTATGGCTGTTTGATTATTTTGATTATATACATTATAAAGTGCTTCATAACGTCGCGTCTCTGTCGAAATGTTTGTTATGTGTTGTACAGGCTAAAATAACATAAGACTCTTGATACAGATAATGACAGGACAACAGTGTACTATATTCTCCCTCACGTGTTGGGCGTATCAGCACTGTGCATGTATGTCACATATTGAGCCGGAGAAGACAAAACCTAAACACTAACTAACAAGAAGATCAGTTAAACACACAGGTAGGTTCATAAAAACGACCCGTTAAATTCTTTCTATCTGAATTCAAATTATTTCGCATGGACCAACATGTATATCAAAACACAAGGGATGTATACTGAAACATAAATCTGGCCATAGTTAATAATATCATTTCTGTAAATGTATGTTCTGTATATTCTTACATGTTATTTTATACGACTTAGCAACACATTTGTGTAATTTTAGGTTGATTTGACATTTATTTCAGCTTGATATTAAAACAAAGAAATTTATATTCTGGTTACATCTGTTGTTCTCTTATTGAGACCAGTTGAGTGCCATTGGGTTAAATCACTTTCCCGTAAAAATTTGCACCTTTCATGGTGTCCCCTGTATTGAACAGCAAATGATTTATAACCATTTCAGCTCTGCTAATATCACCACTTTTGTCAAAATCCATTTCAGAGAAAATTTCTGCAGAAAATTTAGCGTGAAAAATCTTGAGGAAATTGGCATACTCTTTTGCAACAAGAGCGTCATCCTCGTTTTCATCTACCAACTCAAAGAACGTAAGAGCCCATTTGTCTTCGATGTCCAGATGGTGTACCTCAACAAATTTTGAAATCATTTCAGCTTTGTTTTTGATCACGTCGTTTGCAGTAAAGCTTACTAAGTTTTCGTTATTCAACACCTCTTTCCACCACTTGTCCCATACGGCTTGCAAATAAGCTCTCATTATTTCTTCCTTCTCGGCAGACTTCGTTATTGCGCCTACTCTTGCTGCCATCATATTTATGTACTCGTTTTTATCCAGTTTTCCATCTCCGTTTATGTCCAGGATGTCTATGACATATCTCCATTTGGCAGCCCAAATATCACTTGGTGTCTCTTCTTGTACCTGTAAGAGAAACAGACAATCATCATCTTATGATTAAGGTTCTATCACTTTACACCGTTATCAACGTTCCACTGCATTTTATGTATTATAATAAAAGTAATAAAACAATAAGTTTTTATTGTGTTTACATGCCTTGCTACTCGGTGTTCAGAGCATCACTGTTTACTGCCTATGGCTCACTGTGTTATACTGGTAGTGTGCAGTACTGTAGTAAGCAGTATTGTTTTATGGATCTTATTAGCATTTGTTATTGAATTATAAGCATGAACCTGAACTGCTAACACTGGCCTTAGAATTCAACATTCGTTTAGCCAATTTGGACGTTATTTTTAACGCCAAAAAACAAAGATGACAAATACATTTTTTCAATAGTACATTACATAAAGAAAAACTTTGGTAAGTCAGCACAGGTAATTCTGATACCTTTTTATCCCGTATAACCAGTGTGGACGCAACGCCACCCGTCAACATGCCAGCAAACACAGTTATCAATAGACTGCAGAACATCTCGGTTGGGTGCAGGTCTTCTTAAAGATGTTATATTCCAAGATCTGAAAGATATAATTTTTAATCTTCGTTATTGCTCAAAAAAAAAAAAAAAAAAAAAAAAAAAAAAAAAAAAAAAAAAATCATATTCTCCAATTTTAATTAAAATCTAATTAATCAGCGGACATATATACAACAGTTCATTGGTGAATCAGAGGCACTTCCTCAGACCATCAGTTGGACAAAATGTGGATATTTTGGACCTTGGACCCCCTGTGGTTCAACCGAAGGGTGCAGGTGGGGGGGGAGATTTACTTTTGGGCCACGAGATCGTCTCTCACAAAAAATTGGGGGAAGGCGCAACCTGTCTCACATATTGGACAGTGTCATAGCGTGTAGTTCTGTTGCGAATAGTACTGTTTTATGGATCATATTAGTATTTATTCATGATTAACATTACTTTTATCTATTAGAGAAGAAAAATTGTGATTTACCTTGGATGTTCCAAACAAAGTTATGTCTTCTACTGACTCCGTTGATCAACAAAGGAATAAGAGAAAACTGTGCAATACATGTTATATGTGAGAGAAGCTATACTATCCCATGGTGGTTATTAGCATGACAAAGACGTCAGGTGATGATCAGACGTTGCTTGCTGTTCTATTTTTGTAACATATCTACATCCACTTTGAAATCATTGTAACAAGATTGTGTATTTGATAATGCATCCAGTTCAGAATATATGCAATTTTATTTGAACAGGTATTATGATTTCTGAATATGGAAGGAAAACTGGTCTGTTAAGGAATTGGGCTCTCACAAGTTTTTGTAACATTGGATGTTCATGACAAAAGAACATACATGTGTAAGTGGCAGATAATAGGAAGCAAAAGATTAATTGGTATGTTTTTTAATGCGGAAAACATTGACAGAACAATTTCATGGCAGTTAATCAACCTTTTGCAAAAAGATGTACTCGAAATATAAATTTGATCCTCACGACGTAATTTGACCCTGCTCAGTCACACGTGAAAAGACACGACAATCCATGGTGTGCATTGAATCATGACTTCCCCAGGAACCTATATTTACATAAACATTTGTTATATGAAATAAATATTTTACATTCTGGGTATTTTTCTAAGTGTTCACTTTTTTAAATACGCCCTGTATTGTATTTCTAACACTAAATTTGGTGTGTAATTTTCAACTGGTACACGGAATAAATGTATGCCTACACATGATTAAGACCGATACGACATGTCACTAATTAATAATGCATGGAACCTGAAAAACATAAAATATTTTAATTTACCTTACTGCAAAGTCAGCTCTTTTGCCACCTCCCGATCCCGTTGATCCGCAAAGGAATAAATGTGTATCGTATGTTATTTGTAATGTCGTGTTGTCGTTAATATCGCATGAGGGTTATTAGCATGATAAAGACAGTAGGCTGACGACACGTGTGTGGTTTTTGTTTGTTTTTAATATCCTGTCTGTTCCCTTCCAAAAATTATGTTTTCATATGTGATGATGGTGTCAGAATAACATAATTGCTAAGGAAAAACGATTTTTTTAAATTTTTGCATTGCATTCAACTCCACAGAATTAAAAGAAGAATTGTTACCTTAATGGCTGTTTGATTATTTTGATTATATATATTATAACATGCTTCATAACGTCGCGTCTCTGTCGAAATGTTTGTTATGTGTTGTACAGGCTAAAATAACATAAGACTCTTGATTCAGACAATGACAAGACAACAATGTAATGTATTCTCCCTCACGTGTTGGGCGTAATAGCATTGTGCATGTATAGCCCCTATTTCACACAGACCACGAATCCCACGAATGGCCATGAATTGACAAATTTCACGATTCGTGGTTGAATCGTAATCAGTTCGTGAAGTTCTCAACAGATTCGTATCTATTCGTAGTCAGTTCTTGCACTTCTTGACCAACAGGAATTGGTGGCAAAAACTTTGATGCCCCTTTTTCACACAGACCACGAATCCCACGAATCGCCAGGAATTGAAAATTTCAGGATTCGTGGTTGAATCGTAATCAGTTCGTGAAGTTCTTAGCAGATTCGTATATAATCGTAGTCAGTTATTGCAATTCTTGATCAATCGGGAATTCGTGGCAAAAATTTTGAGCTGTTCAAAGTTTTGGCCACGAAATCCCGATTCCAAAAAATCGTAGTGAATTTCTGGACAATATTCGTGCGATTCCAACCGAATCCCACGAATATTCGTAACACTATCGCACCTGTATCGTAACTGAATCGTAGAGCGTGTCGAATTAGACCAGAAAATTGGCAAAATCTCACGATTCCAGTCGAATCCCACGAATATTCGTAACACTATCGTACCTGTATCGTAACTGAATCGTGAGCGTGTCGAATTAGACCAGAAAATTGGCAAAATCTCACGAATCCTCACGAATCCTGAAATTTATCAATTGCTGGCGATTCGTGGGATTCGTGGTCTGTGTGAAATAGGGGCCTATGTCACATATTGAGCCGGAGAAGACAAAACCTAAACACTGACTAACAAGAAGATCAGTTTAACACACAGGTAGGTCCATAAAAACGACCTGTTAAATACTTTCCATCTCAATTCAAATTATTTCTTATGGACCTACCTGTATATCAAAATACAAGGGATGTATATTGAAACATATATCTCAGATTCTGGCCATAGTTAATCATATCATTTCTGTAAATGTATGTTCTGTGTATTCTTACATATCATTTTATACGACTTAGCAACACATTTGTGTAATTTTAGGTTGATTTGACATTTATTTCAGCTTGATAATAAAACAAACAAAAATTTCTAGTTACATCTGTTGTTCGACTCGTGACGTCGTAAGTTTCCACTTATTGGGACCAGTTGAGAGCCATTGGGTTAAATTACTTTCCCGTAAAAATTTGCACCTTTCATGGTGTCCCCTGTATTGAACATCAAATGATTTATAACCATTTCAGCTTTGCTAATAGCACCACTTTTGTCAAAATCCATTTCAGAGAAAATTTGTGCAGAAAATTTAGCTTGGAAAATCTGGAGAAAATTGGCATACTCTTTTGCATCAAGAGTGTCATCCCCGTTTTCATCCACCAGCTCAAAGAACGTAAGAGCCCATTTATCTTCGATGCCCAGATAATGTCTCTCAACCAATTTCGAAATGATTTCGGCTTTGTTTTTGATCATGTCGTTTGCAGCAAAGCTTTCTAAGTTTTCGTCATGCAAAGCCACTTTAAACCACTTGTCCCATATGGCCTGCAAATAAGCTCTCATGTTCTTTTCTTTCTCGGTTGACTTTGTTATTGCTCCTACTCTTGCTGCCGTCATATTAACGTATTCGTTTTTATCCAGTTTTCCATCTCCGTTTATGTCCAAGTTGTCTATGACAAATCTCCATTTGGCGGCCCAGATATCACTTGGTGGCTCTGATTGTACCTGTAAGAATAATATGCAATCATTATTTTATGATTAAGGTTCCATCACTTTACACCATTAGCTACGTTCCAATGCGTTTATAATGTATTATAACTGAAGTAATAAACCAATATGTTTTATTGTGTTTACATGCCTTGCTACTCGGTGTTCAGAGCATCACTGTTTACTGCCTATGGCACACTGGGTTATACTGGTAGTGTGCAGTACTGTAGTAAGCAGTATTGTTTTATGGATCTTATTAGCATTTGTTATTGAATTATAAGCATGAAACTGAACTGCTAACACTGGCCTTAGAATTCAACACTCGTTTAGCAAATTTGGACGTTATTTTTAACGCCCAAAAAAAAAAAAAAAAAAAAAAAAACAAAGATGACAAATACATTTTTTCAATAGTACATTACATAAAGAAAAACTTTGGTAAGTCAGCACAGGTATTTCTGATACCTTTTTATCCCGTATAACCAGTGTGGAACCAACGCCACCCGTCAACATGGCAGCAAAAATGGCTATCAACAGACTGCAGAACATCTTGGTTGGGTGCAGGTCTTCCTAAAGAGGTTATATTCCAATATCTGGAAGATATGATTTTACATCCACGTTATCGTCGCTCACAAAGTCATCTCACATTCTCCAATTAATCTAATTAGCGGGCATATATACAGCAGTTCACTGGTGAATCTAAGAGGTCGTGCCAACACATCAACGTTGAGGCACCTGTTCATACCATCAGCTGGACCAGTGTGGACATCTTGGACCTTGACCCCTTGTGGTTCAACCGAAGGTAAATGTGACCATTTACATTTGGTCCCAGAGATCTTCACTGACAAAAAGCAGAGAAAGGCGCAACCTGTCACACATCTGGGACAGTGTTACAGTGTGTAGTTCTGTAACAGGTAGTACTGTTTTATGGGTCACATTAATATTTATAAATGGTTTATAAGTACATTACTTTTATCTATTAAAGAAGAAAAAAAGTGATTTACCTTGGCTGTTCCAAACAATCTTATGTATTCTACCGACTGATCAGCAAGGGAATAAGAGAAAACTACGTAATTCCCTGTTCTATGTTGGAAAATCTTTTACATCCCATGGTGGTAATTTCACATGATAAAGACGTCAGGTGATGATCAGATTGTTGCCTGTTGTTCATTTTTTGTAACATATCTACATCCGCTTTGAAATCATTGTAACGTGATTGTGTAGCTGATAATACATTCAGTTCGGAATATTTGATATGCAACATTATTTGAACAGGTATTATAGTTTCTGAATATGGAAGGAAATACGGTCTGTTTATTAAATCTGGACCCTCACAGGTCCATATACTTTTAAACAAAAGCAATGTGAAAGTGCTAATACGTTTTTTTAGTCAATTAAAATTTCTTTGAAATTGTGGTCAGCATTGTGGCTAAATAGCTCCAGGTCTACACATGCGTTCATTTCTGTCTGCCTGCCTGTCTGTCTGTCTGTCTGCCTAAGTCTGTTAAATAGAATCCTTCTTAAGTTAGCAGTTACATAAGCACACGCTCTCACGCACGCGCACACATACAGGCACACACAGACACAGATGAATAGGAATACCACAATAATTGTGGTCATACATCCTTTTTGATTTGGACATTACATTCCTAGATATAAGTTGGAGAAGAAAACCTTTTTATAAATTTGATTAGCATAACGTTCAAAACGGCAGTCTACCTGCATTGTATGGTGTAGTAATACAGAAGTCGTGCATCAAATCGCGCTGTAAAACCAGCATAACAGCAGACTGCTTACACTACCTGCATTGTAATCGGTAGACTAAAACAGTTGTAACGGACAGTGATATATCACTAACCATTCTCTTCCCTCAATTCTCTTCAACCAGAACAAAACACATTTAGGTTATAAAGAACCATCCTTCCAATAGCGCACTTATTACGTATAACCTTGGCTACTTCATCTGCTCTAGTTTTTATTTTCTTATTATTTTTTTTTGGTCCCATAGCACGGTTAAATGTTTGAAATAATGAGTGACAGACATAGAAAATCTAATACACGTATATAGCATACTTTTATGAATAAATGTGAATGTGTGACAAGTAACATTTCACAGGTCCGTAGCCAGCAATTTCAAAAGGGGGGGGGGTTCTTTCCCTGAAAAAGTGGACCTTTTTTCACAAAAACTCCGTGTACCTAGATCAAATTTTACCCAGAATGGACTTTTTCCCAGCAAAAAGGGTGGTTCATTATTCTGTTCCCAATTAAAACAGTGGAATATTACAGACGACTTAATGTTTTTGAACATTTATGTAATCTGGTTAGTGAAACTAAAACCAATATACACGTACATTGCTCTGGTTACAGCTGTTTTGAGACTAGTGATCTCGAATGCAACCTTACAGTCTCTTTCAAGATCAAATGGTAGACAGGAATTACAATATTTTCCCATACAAATCCTCACCCTCAGAACTATTGCCGATTGTCCACGACATTTCCTTTATTATCATTTCACTTTTGTCTATAGCTCCATCGCTGTTGGTATCTGCCTCAGAGAAAAGAGAAGAGGAAAATGGGGCGCGAAATATCTTCAGAAAATTGGCATACTCTGTTTTGTTCAGATAGTCATTCCCATCTGCATCCACCAGCTCGAATAACGTAAGCGGCCAATTGACTTCCATAACCAAGTGTTGCATATCAACCATTTTCTCTCTGGTTTTAGCTTCGGTTGAAATAAAGTCATCTGGTGAAATTTCAATTAGATGTGTGTCATTCATAAACGTTTTGAACCATTTTTCCCAAGTTTCCTGCAATAAAACATTGGCTTTGTTTCGTTTCTCGGTGGACCTCGTTATCGTTCCTAATCTCGCTGACGTCATATTCACGAATTCATATTCACTCATTTTTCCATCTCCATCTACGTCCATACGCTCAAAGAATGCTCTCCATCTGGTAGCCCAATTATCTCGTCCGATGGTAATATTTCCCTGTACCTGGGAAAATAAACATGGTGTCTGATATATACAAATTTAATTTAGTGATGCTTGTCTATTGTTTTTAACTGTTAGTCCCTTCATCGTTATCTTAAATATATATACTACAGTACACTATGACCAATAACGTAGAATAAGATGCTGCTTTCGAGTTGGAACTAAACAGCCTCCAATCAATCAGTTGGGATGGTTTTAGTTATATTGTTTGAGTAATTTATTCATATGTCATATAAATGTACATGTTTTTGACAAATATGGCGTTTTCTGTAAATATGACAGGGTAAATGACAAAGATGGAAGAAGACATTATGCAGTATACCAGTGAATAAAACACATTCGTAATTTCGCCCATGCTAAAACCAAGTATTTGAAATGAATATGACAAGTAAACAAAGGTAAATGCCGCTTATACTACAGGATGTTTAGAAAACACTTTGTACCTGTTCAGCCCTTATATTAAGCGTGACACCGTTGTCACTCATCAACGTGGCAGCAACATAAATTGTCAATAGACTGAAGAACGTCATGGTTTTAAACAGTCCTCTTACAGCAGTTAGGCCTATATCCCAAGATCTGAAATATAATTTAGCATGACAGTGAAAAGATAGACAAAACGTCTGAAAACTAAATGAAGACAAAACGTATTATCTTAAAAAGTGAATAACAAATGCATATTAAATTTCTTATCCCAAGTAGATATTGAAGCAACAAGACATTCAGAAGATGGGACAAAATAGAGGACGCTAAGTGAAATAAAGAGATCGTAAAAATGCAAAAGCACGTACAGTCGTCAATTTTCTACATTTAACGCAGGTGTGAACTCAACATCACTTCACGAAGTTCTTGCTGTAAAGTAAAAAATGTGTGCCCCCCGTTTAAATATAATAGGTACAGTGCGTGAGTCAATCATAAATCGTATTTACATGTGAATTAACAAATTAACAAACCATGGGAAACTGACCGAGGAAGTTGCCAGAAAGGTGATATGCTCTATTGTTAGCTTGTTAAATTTTCTGCCACCTGTCAGCTTTACAGAAATCCTTAGCAGTCAAGATACATGTATTTCTATGTCAATATATTCTGCACATTTATGCTAAGTACAAATTATAAGTAGAGCCCATGGGTAGTCTATTACACATGTCAATATTATAGAACGAAAACGTAGGACATGTTTTGATTTACCTTAATGTTCTAAATCCCTATGTGTTCTTTCCGACTCTGTTTTACAGCTCACGTATGTGTGGAGTGTTGCAGAATATATGTTTGTGACGTCAAGGAAACGCTATCATGGATGTCATTAGCATAATAAAATAAACCAGTGTTAAAAAGCCATTTACCTTTTGTTTGTTTTTATGATAAGATATTGTCATGCAAAACACCACAGATGGCTTTTACACGTGACATTGGTGTCACACAGAGACGAATGCAGGTAATACATAAAATAATATTAAAAAAATCGGGCATAGGCTCACACAGGTCAAATGGGATGCGAACATCATACGACAATTTTATAATTAACTTCTGGTAATTTTCGTGAAATACTGTAACACGCACAATATTGAAGACATCAGACTCTTTAAAAGAGACCCCTTTTCATTTTAGCCCTAAAAGTCAAATGGCAAGCAAGGATCTCAAAATAATTGCAATAATCGCCATTTTGGTGGTAACATGGAACTCATTAACTCTTTAAGTTGTTTACGGCTTATTTATAGTGGATATTTGAATCTGATATGAAGAGCTGTTATCACTTTTAAGTTCATTAAATGTACGTATTTGCCTATGGCACTAAAACATCCTTTATGTTTTCTTCGACGAGGTAGATCAGTAAAGCCCCCTTTACACTGGACGGCGTCCCTTCTGCGTCCAGCAGTACGGCCCCATTTGAGAGTTAAAAATTATAATACTTTACGTGCCGACAACTGGCCGATCATTGAGCATACATTCTGATACAAAATCATTGCTCATGCCTCCTTATTTAGACCACAGCGATGCCAAATTTCATGGTTGCAGATAGGACGCAGAAAGGACGCCGTCCAGTGTAAAGGGGGTATAAAGGAATAAATGGTATCATTGCCCACGTGACTTGCCTGACAAATGTAACCATATCATGAGGGTAATTATAATGATAAGAGGCGAACAACCAATGTAAATCAAGTTCGGCTTTTACAGAAATTGTGTTTTTGCTTTCACCAGTAATACAACACACATAACCATATGCTTACCCGCATTGCACATGCACAGAAAAGGTCATATACTCTGCAATACCGGATTTAAATAAACTGGCTTTTAAAGATAATCATAGTATGGCTAGGTACATTATTTTTCGTCCAAAACGTATATTCATTTTGATGACAGCTCTTCGAAGATGATAGGGTTACATGTACCTGTCACTACCAAGAAGTCAATAACAAATAAGAACTGTGCATGAGTAAGATAGGTTGATGCTATTTATAAGCAACAATAGACCATAAATGACAGAAAGTAATAATAAGGCTTTAAAACCTCAAATAGATATGACATTGTGTCCATATTATCGTTTAAGTGTGTTTGTCTGTGCAATATGTGAATGTCCGCGCTGTGGATTCTTGGAAAAAAATGTCAAATGTTTCGCTCTGACAACAACTGAAATTATTCAATTATGCAAAATAGCACAGTCTATTAGAAGCATAAGTATAATATTACAGTACTTTCCCGTAAAAATCGGCTCCATCCGTACTTTTGCTGATCGTCCATGACAACTCATTTATAACCATCTCACTTTTATCTATAGACCCGTCGCTGTTGCTATCTGCCTCATAGAAGATATCCGGCGAAAATGGTGCTCGAAAAATCTCAAGATAATTGCCATACTCTGTTTCGTTCAAGGAGTCATTCACATCAACATCCACCAGCTCGAATAACATAAGCGCCCATTTAACTTCCATGACCAAGTGCTGAATATCTACCATTTTCTCTCTGGTTTTAGGTTCGGTTGATATAAAGTCATCGGCTGAAATTCCAAAACTGGCGTCTTTCATAAAGCTTTTCCACCACCTCTCCCAATTTTCCTTCAAAAAAGCTCTCATTTTCTCCTCCTTCTCGGCGGACTTCGTTATTGTGCCTACTGTTGCTGCCGTCATATTAACGTATTCGTTTTCATCCATCTTTCCATCTCCGTTCATATCCATGTGCTTAAAAAATGCTCTCCACTTGACTCCCCAGTTATCTCGCAAGGGGTCGTGATCTCCTGGCATCTGGAAAGAAACACTTATTTATATTTGCTTGAAATGTGATTTTACAGATATCTTAATATTTTACTAGCAGTTTATCTAAGTTGACGTTTACTAGTTTCGTCATCATTTTCATTATCATTTTTCTTAACAATTTATCTTATTCCTTTTGTTGAAACTTGCAACTTAGAGCAATCAGTTCTGATATAGTTTTTTTCATTTTAAACCATTCTCGAGTATTTTTAAACGCCAAGCATATACCACAAAATTTATTATTCGCATTGCCCAATATGGCGTTTACTTCGAATATCACATTGTAAAGGTCAGTAAATGAATTATTTGGACAGAATACGTATTTTAAATAACGCATCATAACCGCCGTTATGCTGTCTTCTATACCTTTTTATCCTGAATGACACGTGTGAAACCACTCATCAACGTGGCGGCAAACACGCTTGTCAATAGGCAGTAAATCACCATGGTTGCTTGAGTTGGGCAAGACGATATTTCAAAAAAAGCAGAAACCCCTGCAAAAAGGTAAAAATATGGTTTTAAATCTGAGACCAACGAACACGTTAAACAATGAGAGCTTTGTGCAGAATCACTGCGTCAAGTTGTGTCAAGCAGAGTCAAGGTGAACATATGCATTAGAGTAGTCTATTCTCCCCAACAAAAAGTGCCACATCTGCCTTACTGATTTACATTGCTACAAATGTAAACACGTTTCACTTTCAACCAGTCATTGTGGGAATTGGAGATTTGTACAATGGAAGGTTGACCTGTCTATCGTGATCTTTGAAATGTCCCGACACATCTCATTATTCAAATATACGGCCAAAAGGTGAAATGGAGACCCGTTTCAGTAAAAGTGATGTACATTTGTGTACCAAAGTATTGCTTTACACTGACCTCTTAAAAAAAGAATGGCACAATATATGACTCAAGCCAAAAGCAACTTCTTAAAATCGTTTTAATGCATTCATCTTGAACTGAAGTAGATATTATAACTTATTTTTCCATTTTTAGTGCGCGTGTGGATTCGATTACATGTATTTGTCTTGCTGAAATATGTCCAATATGCTTCATTACTGCCTGGTATGGGTAACCGATAGACACTGCTTTTGTTTCTTTTCCATTCTTTTTTATTTAAACAAATAATATATTGTTAATAAACCCCTCTTAAATATAGTGTGATCATCAGTTATCAACAGACAATTAAGAAAATGGTTTACCTTTAAAGTTCCAAACGTAGCTGTGTATTCTTCCGATGTGTTTGAACAAACAATGTTGTGCGCTCGTTGGACGTCGCTCAACAACAAAGGTATACATCAAAGATTACGCGCTGCATCTGATGTTAGGGAAGTTTTCCAATAACATACGGGTCATTTGACTAATCAAAGCGACGGATGAAGATATATAACTGTCGTGTTTTTTGTTTTATTGACACGTCTCGATCACTTTCGAATCACCATTACCTTTTTACGCTTAGTTTTGTTGTCAGACTGTTTAATTTGATATAAATTGTTGCGTCGATAGGTCAGACTTTTGGCTCTTATAGCCAACTTATACGATTTTAGGTTCTATAGACGTTGTTAAATAACTGCAACACTGTGTTTCTTCTTGCCTGCCTCCCTGACTTCACGCCTGCATGATTGTCAAATGGTGTACAAACTAATGTTATTATTATTTGAGCAATTACAATATTTGTTTTTATTTATATAAAATATAACGTGTGTCATCGCGGTAATAGGTACTAGTCATGATAGTGGTCATGATAGTGGGACAATCATCCAATTCATTATCGTTTTTTTCAAATGTAAATGTTTGTTTCCACAGCCTCCGTACCTACCTGTACATAATGTAAATAAAGTAGAATGTGTGGAATATATATATATATATATATATATATATATATATATATATATATATCGTTTCCCTCAGAAGAGGGTCTAGTCATTAGCGAAAAGGTCATGAGCCAGTTTGTATTTCTTTATAAAAGATAATATGGTTCACTTTCAAATCATTAAATGTTTCATAGTACGATATAAAACGCTATGAGAACTTGGATTTCTAAGGTCATTTTTTCTAGGACAGAAGCTCCAGACATATATTAGTAGGAAAAAAGAAAAGCAACTGTTCAGTACACATTTAGCTGACAGTAGTTTCATACCTAAAGTCTACCCACATTGTAACACAGGCTAAAACATGCCGTAAACAAAAAGTGTGCTTTCAACCAGCAGTACCACATACAAAGCCAAACACACACCTTTATTGTATGATAAAGTTAAACAGGTGTCTTGAACAATAAAGCATCAATTATTAATCATTCTGCAATGACAAAAATGGGTAAAATATCGATTTAAAATAATAAACGGATGTCATCCGTTCATATAAATATTAACACGACATTTCTGTCTACGGAATATATTTTAAGCGATATATGTGATTGATTTACGCAATGTAAAACAATTTATAGTTTTTAAGTATAAAATATGTTATTGGCAGTACATGGGTACCTTCATGCCACCAAATATACATATATATATATATATAACACAAAAATCACATACTTCTCATGACTACTTTTGTGTTTTATATCTAACAAAATCTAACAAAAATCTCATGTTATGTTTAATATTATGAAAACAAGCACAACTTCAGAGCAATTGGAAATACCATTTATTTGATATTAGCAGTAAAATAAAATGTATTTTTACTTTGAAAGTCGAGACCTGGAGATAATGCATAGAGCTCACTTGGTTGAGAACTGTGCGTAACAAGGACTATAGTACTTTTCCGTAAATATTCGCCCCATCCATATTATTGCTTGTTTCCCATGAAAAAACATTTATAATCATTTCACTTTTGCTTAAAGCGCCATCTCCATCACCATCTATTTCATATAAAATATCTGGAGAATACCGACCGCGTACGTGACATTAGGAATCTGATAAACTCATTTTGGTCAAGGTTGCCATTCCCTTCTTCATCCACCAGCTCAAAAAATGTCACGTACCATTTGCTTAATGCATCCAGGTAATTTGCAGTTACAGTTTTTGCCTTGATTTGAGCCTCGTTACAGATAATGTCACCTATTGAAACGAATTCTTGGTTTTCGTCTTGCGTCAACCCCTTCCACCACCCATTCCATGTTTCCTGCAAATAAGCTTTGATTTTCTCCTCCTTCTTGGTGGACTTTGTTATTGCTCCTACTCTGGCTGCAGTCATATTAACGAATTCATATTCAGCCATCTTTCCATCTTTGTTTACATCCATCTGATCAATGAACGCCGTCCATTTGATTGCCCAAATGTCACGTGACGGATGAACATCGTCAGACAGCTAAAGGAATCAAAATATCACTTTGAGTTATTTTACATAACGTCGCTGCTAACTACATTATAATAAAAATTGACGATTGAATTACGCTCAATTACCTTAATAATTCTTCTCAAACGTGTGTAACTCTACAAAGTGACAGCATAGATAATGCTTTATACCTTTTTACCCCGTGTCACCAGCGTGGAACCGCTGTCACTCATCATCATGGCGGCAAAACCTATCGTCAATAGACTGAAGAACATGATGGTTGGGTCCGGTTATCTTATAGTCGCAATTCACCCAGATCTTAAACATAATGAAGATATGGAGAAAACGTGCTAGAAGTCATTATCTAGTGGCAACATATCTTGTGAGACAGACAAGTATGCAGCCGGTATCAAGGACATAGTTGAATGAAGAAAAATGCACAAATAATACGATAGACAAAGAGGTACTAAAACATACAAATGAGAAAAATATAATCTCCAGTAACAGGGAATAACCTTATGAGTGTTTTACCTATGCATCAGCTTTGTTGAGAGGTACTCCACAGGTTACGTCATTCCATGTGAATTGATAAAATGTAAATTTTTGGTTCACACGTTCCATAACATTTATATACAGTATTTGTGTCTTATCTCAAATTCTTTTCAACAGGGCAGTTAGTTTTACGTTTTGAATGTGTTCAAACTACGGAGACATTCCAGATATCTTTATCACTCATGCAGGTATTTTTTTATTAGTAAATGGTTTTGCTTGGCATTTTGTGTGTCGAATTTGTTGGTGTTAAGAGTTTTTCATTAAAAAATTACAAGAAATAATTGTGATCAACGTGGTAAAACTTAACAATACATTCGTTTTCTGGCCTTTTTTCTATTATATGTATACTATGTTGCATTAAAATAGGTGACAACAAATTATGCTTACAGTGCCGAATATAAAAACCTGGGTACCTAAATGTATTTTTTCACATATTGAATGTTTCTGCCTCGTGCAATTATCCCATGGGTTAAAAGGCAGACCATGCGGGTAGTGGGATTTTATAACCCATTCGCATTCTGTGGTATTGTGAAGCAAAGCAAAACGGATTTTGTGAACAATGTTTTTTTTTAATCTAACATGGCGGTGGAATGTAAGAAAAAATCACTTGTTTCTCTTTTTTATAAAACATATTTACTGTTATCCCGAAAGCCAACTCTTTTTGTATGGGAAACAGATGTCATATACAGATCTGGATCTATAACCAACGGTAAAACATGCAATAACCAGTCTTATAACATGCAGTGCCCACATTGTGTTGAAGGCCAAAACAGATGTCGTGAACAATGGCATTTCTATCCAACATTTAGATAGATGAAGGATGAATGTAAAACATCACTTTCCCTTTTTTATTAAACATGCGGCATTAACTTTTAGCTCTAGACATTATATTTAGACTAATGAAGTTAACCAAGAGCATATAGTTAATGTAATATTACAATATTTTCCCGAATAAATCCGCCCCCTCCCTACTGTTGGCCGTCACCCAGGCCAACCCCATGGTGACCATTTCGCTTTTGCTTATAGTGCCGTCGCTGTTAGTATCTATTTCAGAAAAGATGTCCGGAGAAAATGGAGCGTGGAATATTTTCAGATAATCGCCATACTCATCAGCCTCAAGAGAGTCGTTTTCGTTTGCATCCACCAACTCGAAGAACGTGAGAAACCATTTGCTTTGTATCTTCAAGTTATTTACATCAACCATTTTCGCTTTGGTTCTTGCTTCGGTTGCAATAAAGTCATCTGCTGAAATGCTTTTTAAGTTGTCGTCATTCATGAGGCTTTTCCACCAAGTTTCCCAATTTTCCAGCAAGAACGCTTTGATTTTATTTTCTTTCTCGGTTGACTTCGTTATTGCTCCTACCCTCGCTGCCGTCATATTGACGAATTCGTTTTTATCCATCTTTCCATCACCATTTACGTCCATACGCACAATGTGTGATCTCCATTTGGCTGCCTACAAATCTTCTGACACCTGGAGGAGCATAAGTTCACTTGACTTCACTCCACTTTGACTCTACACAATTTTTACAATTTGACATTTATATTATTCATTATCATCAATGTATTTTCTCCAATTGCCATCATTTTTTGTCACTTTCAACATATGTCTAAATATTGTGGTTGTTCTCTGAAAGATAGAAGTAAACAAGAACAAACTGTGTTGTGGTTTAGTTAAAACTAGTTTTTCGATTGTAAACACGAAGTATGTTTACCTTTTTATCTCGTAAAACCGACGTGGAACCACTCTCATTCATCAACATGCCAACAAAACCCATTGCTAATAGACTAAGGACCATCATGGTGGGGTATTTGCCTTTTACAGCTCGCATGTCTGAAAGAGACATATACAGTAGCATGGCTGTTAAATATATCGATCATATCAAATAATCAAATGCATAATGCCACGGTTGATAATGCCCCAAAGTGGCAATTCCATTTAATTGAGAAAGGCATAACGTGCATTTGACTTCCTTTGGTCCCCACATCATATACTCACGACAGATGCATTATTATTATTGGTTTTTTAACACTGAATATATCAAGATAATATGAAACCCTGATACCGGAACATACTTAGCAACTTTCCGACATTGCTGTCTTAATTAACTGAAACCTTTCGCTAGTTAATTATCTGGATGGGCTGGTACCTGATCTATTGTCTTTCGAATAGGAATAGCCCCAGTAATAGGGGTATACATACCGAAGTTCTCATTCTAATTCTACTCGATGACACAATTGCAAAATGTTTACTTTTACTTAAAGCCGTTACTTAAGTGTTCTAGCTAGCCAGTGTGTATGGAATCAAACAAACAAGCGAACAGCGCTCTCATAAATTTAAGGTGGAAAAATAAAACATTTCGATTTACCTTGCGTTTCGAAACGATCCTGTGTATTCTTCAGACGTCGTTGGTCAGCACACGAATTAGTGAATGGTAGCCTACTACATGTTTTGACGGCGAGGCGCTACCATCGCTTGAGGGTCATTAGCATAATAAAGACGGCTGATGTTGATCAGGTTCACTGTGTTGTCCGACTTTGTAACATACAGGTATCTGCATTGACTTAACATCCAGTATACAATGATTGTGTACCGGAAATTAATGTCAAGTCGAAAAACTGATATGTAATATTAAATGAACAATAACTATGGTGTATGAATACCAAACGGAACCCGCCGCAATAAATACCTTCTGCTGCCCAGCCGGTGTTAAAGGGGAAGATAGCGGAGGGGAACCGGTAGTTTCATTACACCAGACAGACACGTTGGATCTTTTCCAACAGGTGCTCATACTCTAATTTTAAATACTGTTTTAGGAGCCCCTTGTATCAGAAGGTACCCATATTGTTAAAAAGAGCAGATCAAATATCTTTAACATATTTCTATCTCTCAACAGCAATACAAAAAAGTCCGAATATTTTGCCGCATGGAAAGGTACTAAAGCGCTAATCAATCATCAATTACCCAGTGTTTACATTAAACCTAGGCAAAAGGTAAATCCATGCTTCAGAAAGTTTTTAAATTCCAATAGCACGCCATGTAAACTTAACAATGTGGTCCTGCGTGTGTACTTTTTTCATCTAAACTTTGTTTGTATTATGCACAGACTTGACGTTTAACATGGAATATATTTTCTGAACCATTTTTCATCATTTTTTCCCTATTTCGCTGACTGATAAATGAAAAAAGGGATGAAAATCGTGCTTCATTAATTATTTATATTATAAAGGCGGTAATTAAGTGTCAATCTGTTTTTCTGTCTGTTTGACTATCCCCGTCCGTCTTTATGTTCGTGTGTTCTGCTGTAATGTTAGTAAGTGACATGAGTGAATAAGGAGCGGGGGTGTTTTGTAGAGTAACTTAAGTTGATTGACGTGCTCTTGTGATATTTATACAACTGCGCATAATTAATGGGGAGAAGGCCGCTAGGGATTGCATGAGGTAGAAACAGAAATGAAGAGAGCGGCGCGGGTAACACTGGACAGTAGTTAAATGAATAATAAGGAAGATAAGACCTGAGTTGTATTTGCTACCTCGCGTGACATCAGCAGTAAGATAAAGACAACGACTTCGTCACACTGCGAATAAGCAGTTTACTAAAGCAGCATTTTTGCTAACGGTCAAAAATTGATAAAACATGGTATTTTGAAATATTTAAAAATCTATTTCGTTTTGGGAGTAAAGAGACCTCGAGTGTTTTTTTATTTGATTTGTAAAACCAATACCAATATTATTGCTTTATGTAGCCCGTTCCAACTAAATGGTAGACGTGGAATTACTGTATTTTCCCGTAAAAATCCGCCCCCTCTCCACTGTTGTCTATTACCCAGGCTAACTCCTTTATTATCATTTCACTTTTGCTTATAGCGCCGTCGCTGTTGGTATCTGCTTCAGAGAAAAGAGCCGAGGAAAATGGGACGCGGAATATCTTCAGAAAATTTGCATGCTCTGTTTTGTTCAGACAGTCATTCCCATCTGTGTCCACGAGCTCGAAAAAAGTATGCGACCATTTGACTTCCATGATCAAGTGTTGCATATCAACCATCTTTGCTCTGGTTTTAGCCTCGGTTGAAATAACGTCATCTGCTGAAAAACTTTTTAAGTTTTCTGCATTCATAAAACCGTTCCACCATTTGTTCCAAGTTTCCTTTAAGAACACTTTTATCTCCTCCTCCTTCTCTGCAGACTCCGTGATTGCTCTCACTCTTGCTGCCGTCATATTGACAAATTCGTATTCATCCATCTTTCCATCTCCGTTAACATCCATGTGGTTTATGAACGCTGCCCATTTCCTTGCCCACATATCAAGTGACGGATTTTCATCGTTAGAAAGCTAAAATGAACAAAAGCAATATTATGTGTCAGAACTTTTTGTCAGGGTAACTAATTTGGTAAAATTAACTACTGGGTTCACTTCTCAAGAAAAAAAAATCAAAACAAAATAAGATTTTTCGTTTGTGTACAAACACAAATTCCATACCTCCTTTAATTTGTTATCATTATAAATCCTATCAAATTTTAAGACGGCTTACGTGACACTGATATCACCATGTATCTCACAGCATTAACATCATTAACGTACAGGTATTCAGGTATTTTTATGTCACAGTAAAAATAACATGTAATGATCTATACCTTTTCAACCCTTATAGCTAGAGTTGAAACTCTATCACTCATCAACAAGGCAGAGAAGGAAATTGTCAATAGAATGAATAGCATGGTGGATGGGTGTTGTTCTCCTACAAGGGTAATCTTAAATAGCCTAGAATATTAATAATATGTAAAGTTAAATTTGAAGTCAAATAACCCGACCAAACGCTATTATATAATTCCAAATAACACATCTAAAATACCCAAGGGTATCGTCCCATATGACATGTAAGATATTTTTCTGCTTTCTTCTTCATATGTAATTTTACAACTATTAAAATACATTGCCAAATATCTGACTTGCAATGGATGGCAAACCTCTCTACATCTTCTACTTGAGTGACTGATGCAATACATGATGAATAACGCAAATAAGCGACAAAAAAGTTACACCATAATTATCTTACAAATATACACTCCATTTGCAAGATATGATTTCAGGGATAACTTAAGCCATCATGACAACGGGCGCTCTCAGAATTTCCCGTCACTTGTTGCAGAAACATAATGGTCGACATGTGGTCGTAGTAGCAACCATCTTTGGGTTCTCACCATATGCTATGGATCGGGGTGTTTAGAGTGGTCTGTGCAGATATCATTATAGTCAAATTTCTAATCTGGACCAACTCCTCGAAGCTTTTCTACAAAAAGGGACAATCTCCCTCTCAACAGATTTGAAACGCTCGCTGAGTGCATGCCGCGCCACCTACCTGGGGCTGTTAGACATCTGCTGTTCATGGATATCTTCAAAGGTATTTTTGCTTTTTGAACCACATGTCATGCTAGATATAGTGTATAAAATAAAAATACAGCTCGTAAAATGGTTTTAAGATGTTCTGTAATCGTTTGTCAACAAAAATATGGAATTGGAGATGTGAGGTCCATTTTGAGCACGATTACGATTACGCCTTATCGCTGTTCCGCTGGGCATGATATATTTCATGATGCATTCGACCAGGCAAGTACAAAATGTTCCCAAATTTGGAAGCACATCTATTTCAGACGTTTTGTTGGCAAAAAATATACATAAGTGTGAATTTTATAGGAAGCCCTACCACAACCAAACGTCTAGCCTGCATGTATGGTAGGGTTGAACAGATACCATGAACAGAAGTGTATCTTATTCCATCAAATAACAAATGCTTACCCGCATTGTATATGTTAAACAGGCGTGGTAGACAAAACGCCTTTTGTGGCATCGACATGGAAACTAAAGAAAATTTAGATTTCAAAAAAACTTTGTGACTTTTAATCAGCTTCCCATCTTCTTAACTTGAATGTCGGCTTTATTTATGTGGATGAGTGTCTGCCCTTGTTTTCAATATACCCTGTAGGTAGTTTAATACACCTATATTACACCTTCACTTTACCTGCACTTCACCTACTTTATGTTAAGTTATCAAGACCGTATTCTTTTATATGAATTAACTGCACCATATGTATTAAAGAAAGGAAACACATTTTGTAATCATTAATGGCAATAGTGGACATTTTCATTTGGGGTGAAATACGTAATACAATGAGTTGAATTGTTTAGCAGAGTCAGCCCCAAGCACAAAGTGAAGTTCGGGTATCAAAATAAATATCATGCGTGTAATTACCCACGTGAATAACCATAAGGATAGCAACGTACATGTATGTACGGAATTTAAATGACGACACCCTTCAGTCAAAGGCTACAGAATATCTCAGTTACCCATAGGCTGAATCAGTCCAAAAACCGCAACAAGGGCGTAAGCTAACAGACCCATGTGATGTCAACATCTTGCCACAGTCTCACTTCATCATCTTATCCTTTATTGCTCTGCGTCACAGAACCGTGCTGTTACTGCAAGAACATTACACGGATTTTCGATTTCGAAGTTTTCAACACAGGCGCATCATTAACTTAACTGTGCTGGTATGTGTCGTTAAAAACATTGTACTTAAGTAAATTACAGTATTGCACTAATGCATAATCTATAGAAGTTAATGAAACTAGAAAATATTTTGATTTACCCTACCGTTGCGTCCATGTGGATTTTTCTGAGAAAGTCAATCAGCACAAGATTATGTGAAATGTTAGGCAATAATTTTCACGCCGTGGAGTTGTTATCGTCTCATGAGGGTCATTAACATAATAAAGGCGTTAGGGGTTAACCCATTGTTTTGATTACACGTCTGAATTTATCAGTGTTAAACTGTAAGTGACAGAGAGAGAAAAAATCATTATAAAACATTATAATACATTATATTTGAACAGTGGCTTATATAAAATAATATCAAAAGAGAACCGTTACGTTAAATGACTTGATAAAGTAAAAACACATACTTCCATTGAGGTTATAATTTGGAAGATCACGTGACTAGCGGTAAAAAGTAAATAAAATTTAAGTGATAGTAACTGCTATTAAAGCTATTTAGTGAAATATGAAGTGATCTAACTCTTCATTTCTAAACCCAACAAATGAATTTTTCTTATTAAATTTTTGAACTTAGGTTTGTTTATGGCACATTTTACATACCCTCTACCAGGACCACAGAGTGATTTTTCACTAGATATTAAGAGATATGTCTCTGGTTAAATAGATGGGCTAATCTCTGTACTGTCACTATGTGCTGAAATCTCAAGGATGAATAGATTCCTGGTGATCGTTTGCATATCTACTCAGGCACAGTCACTTAGCAAGTCCCTGTCAAGTCCCTTTCACAGTAAGACTGCATTCCCACAGAGTTAGATCGATCCATCTGGGTCGACCTAACTCCCTGCAGGTTCACGCTAAATTGCTGTCAGCTCAAGAGGCTTTTAAAAATGACTGTCACACCTACCGAATCAGCTAGGGTAAAGATGATTACCCCCTAACAGCTTTACTAGGCGTGACAGATATTTAAGCCTGCCAAGTTGACAGCAATTTAGTGAGACTCCCCAGGGGGATAAATCGATCTACATATCTGTGGGCATAGTCTCTAATCAAATCATCCATATTACCTCTTACCAAAACCTCGGAGGCTGGAGTAATTTAGCAGTGATGTCACAACATGTTCCATAATGGTAAACATTACTCGTCACTTAAATGGTCGTGTTAGTATAAAGTGTATATGAAATAGACAAATATATGACTACACCTATCCATAATCTATACAAACAGGGAAATTAAAATATTTTGTTTTACCTTATGTTTGTATCCTCCGGTTTTCTCCCGACACAGTCAATGTACACAAGAATAAGCAAAATGTTGCGCAATGTATATATGGCCTTGGGAGTGGTATCGTCACATGAGGGTCATGAGCATAATAAAGACAGCAGGTGTCTGTATTCTATCGTGGTCTGAAGTCACTCACAAGAAACATTCAATAATTCCTGTATCACTGGTGTTAGATGTAGGTATCTTTCATTGTTGGAATGGAACGTTATTTGAACGAATAAAAAAACCCAATACAAAATGTTTAGACAATGTAAAGTTTGAGCCCCTAATATGTTGTGTTTGTTGTGATTGTGTTCGGTGTGTGTCGTGGATGTTCGTTTGCCTCCGTGGATGTCACGGGTTTGAAGACCGTGCCCCATAAACCATTTGCACTTGCACCTTAAAGTCAGGCGGACGTTGCAGGCTAGAACAGTTGAAATAATTGTTCTAGTACTCTTGCAGATGAATGTAATTATATCAAAGCAAGGACCAATCCACGGTTTTTGAAAATTTCATATTTCTAATTTTACGTATTTACTAATCTATGGTGTTTTTTGCATTGTTTGTTATATTAAACTCTTATATTTTTCTTCCTCTTTGTTCTGTCTTTCATGTCTATCGTCTTACTTTGTTTAAATTTTGCTCATGTCATTGTTTAAAATCAATTTGTATATAATATTTGTGCAGATAATTGTATGAGAATAAGCCAGTGTCAAACAGGAGCTATCGTCCTGTTACAATATATTGGATTTCTCTTCTTCCTTTAGAAAGAACAAGCAGTCTCCATGATTCTGGATGTTAATACGATTGGAAAATGAAAAGTCGATAGAAATAAAAATGTTTCAAAGACAAATGTACAAGTGTATAAACTGTTGTCTCTTTATTTAATACACAATATTTTCTAATATTTTTTCATTATTATTATTATTATTATTATTATTATTATTATTATTAGCGAAATCCTATCCTCAAGTGATTACTTTTAACTCAACGGCAGTGTTACCGGCGCACCTATCACAACCGGAGCTGCGTGGTTATAATCTTAAACCTTGAGGAATTCAACCAGCGGATACATTCCTTCTTGACAACACAGGCTAATATCTTGGAAACACGCTCCTTGTTTTCTTGAACTTTTATTGAACCAACAATAGTTAAACACGTTCTGATACAGTATCAAAGGGAAATAAGGAAGAAATAAATACACAAAATAAAAATTGAAATGGACTTATTCTGATCTTGTTACTTGAGAAATAAGGCCACATGCTTTACATTTCTTTACACGACAAACTCACTTATATAATGACTGCATGTTAAAATATCAACGCATTAATAACTGATTACCAAGCTTAAAAGAACAATGATAGCTGCAGAAAATACGCTATAATAAACATAGGCTAGCAACTCATTAGAACTTCTCTAGCCTCTTGAATTTGTGACAGTTTACATGAACTTTCGGCCTCTTATATCGTCTTGTACATACGTACCGGTACATATTCACGATTGAAAAGGCAACTAATACACTGATGGTGCAGGAAAGGGAGAATAAACTAACAATACTTAATTGCGCAAAAACGTATTGAATGGGTTTTTACGACCACTATACTGCAGATAGTTACAAATATTGCATCAAAGCTCTCCGAACAAAAGGCATCATTTTATAGCTAAAAACCACCAATCTTGCTGAACATACAAACCTAGCTGCCAAAAACCTTTATACCAGGTGAATATATTTGTGTGCGACCACTTTAATGAAAATAAGGAAAAAAATATTTATAATAAATAAATAAAGATAAAATAAATTAAAAAAAAAACATCAAAACTATCCAGAACAAAAGACACGGAGGAAGCCTCTTATTTCTGAAGT